TATGTATTTAATTTTTAACCCAAATAAATCATTCAGAAATTTTGCATACGACGTTTCTAAAAACCGTCGATAGGGAGAAGCAGCGGTCATGTTTTCATCTGATGGAAATCTCGCGATAACATGTTCCAACAAAACTCTACGGAACCTCTTCCGGTTCTTCTTCCTGTTTAAAGGATCACGTAAGTACTGTGCCTCTCTTTTTTCATTGTGTTTAATATCTGTAATAATCTCAAACATCGTTTCGCCAAACATTTTAATTTCTTGTCTACGCTATCATACTGACCTCTTCTGTCACATTCCCCCTCATATTTAACTACAGATTGTAACGCAATTTTATTAATTTTGAAGAAAAATGACCACGTTAGCATTAGCGATTGGCAAGTGTGTAATTTTTGGTTTTTCAGCTATTGACCTAATATTTGTTTTTTCTCGGCACATAACAGCAAATGGCGGACGACGCCGGTGCTGGTAGAGGAGGTTTTCGCGGAGGTTTTGGCGCAGGTGGCCGCGGTCGGGGCCGTGGACGCGGCAGAGGCCGTGGAAGGGGCCGCGGTGCTCGGGGCGGCAAGTCCGAGGACAAGGAGGTGGGATTTTCGTAGTTGAATATTTTGTTTTAAATTAGCTTTGCCGATTTGAGTGGGGTAATTGACAAACATGCTATCCATTTCTTTAGTGGGTGCCAGTCACCAAGCTGGGCCGCCTTGTTAAGGACATGAAGATCAAGTCCCTGGAGGAGATCTACTTGTACTCCCTGCCTATCAAGGTGAGCTGCATGTAAACTGTGCTGGGGTCACCTATGATGTATTCAATTAGATGTCTGCAGTAAATGATGGGGCCAGGCTRAGATGGTTTGGACTTCTGCAGGGAGGGACAGTGGTTATATTTGTAAAGGCTGAAAGTTATAACTTGTACTTAAATGTTCGTATGACTTTGTTTAGGAGTCTGAGATCATTGACTTCTTCCTGGGTTCTGGTCTGAAAGACGAGGTGTTGAAGATCATGCCCGTTCAGAAGCAAACCAGGGCCGGTCAGCGCACAAGGTTTAAGGTGAGTGTCAGCTAGAGGTTTTTGTGATTATTTTTGTTGCAATGCTTCTCTCTTCATCTGCATCTCATTTTGCTTGCAGGCCTTCGTTGCCATTGGTGACTACAATGGCCACGTAGGTCTGGGGGTGAAGTGCTCCAAGGAGGTAGCCACAGCCATCCGAGGAGCCATCATCCTCGCCAAGCTGTCCATCGTCCCCGTCAGGAGAGGTTACTGGGGTAACAAGATCGGGAAGCCCCACACCGTGCCCTGCAAGGTGACGGGCCGCTGCGGATCTGTCCTGGTGCGTCTGATCCCAGCCCCCCGTGGTACCGGGATCGTGTCGGCCCCTGTGCCCAAGAAGCTGCTCATGATGGCTGGTATTGATGACTGCTACACCTCTGCCAGGGGCTGCACTGCCACGCTCGGCAACTTCGGTAAGGCTTTGGTTCTTTGTATCGCCTCCGTGTTTCTCCTCGCTCTGCTCAGCTTCACCGTTTCAGTGGTGTGGTTGTCGTTATCAGGAGAGAAAGTAACGAATTTTGCACGGCAGGAAGACGCATTTTGTCTTTTCTGTTCCTGATTTCAGTATTCAACATTTGTCTAAAACAATACACCTGTTTTTGTGACTAATTTTTCATGTCAAGTATCCACTCAATTTTATTTCTTCCTCAGCTAAAGCCACCTTTGACGCCATCTCTAAGACATACAGCTACCTGACCCCTGATTTGTGGAAGGAGACAGTTTTCACAAAGTCTCCATACCAGGTAAATGCTGCACCAGTATTCAATCAATGTAAAAAGCCTTAGTTTTTGTATTTTATCTGACCATCTTGTTCTTATTTCAGGAGTTCACAGACCATCTGGCCAAGACTCACACCCGGGTCAACGTGCAGAGGGGCCAGGCTGTGCAGGCCGCTACCTCCTAAACCTTTTGTACAGAGAATCATGGAATAAAGGTTCTGAAACACCTCAGTGTTTTATTGTCATGTTTACAGTCARKAGAAAGGTTTTCTKAAACATTTKTGTTACATCACATCACAGCCGAAATACTTTATTATTAACCTTTATTTAACCAGGCAAGTCCCATTTAGATTGCAGATTTATTTTGCAGGAGAGTTCTGGGCCTGAAGGCAACACTACTGTACATGATCTTGATCTGGGGGGATGACAGAGAAAATGCAACATGAGAACATGGCAAACTCCACACAAACACCCTGGGTCTAAACTGGGAGTTGAGCCCAGAGTTGTTAAGGTGATAGCTTGCAATATTATTATATTTATTATACAATAAGAGTTAATTAGATTACTTACAAGTGTTGAAATTATTTGGCGTGTAACTTTATGATGAACTTTTCCTGTAATGCGTGTTTACTGCACTTGAAAGTTTTCATAAGCCAATTTAATTTTTTTTACCACCTTTATGAAATCTTTTTAACATGACTTATGGTAAATAAGCTTTGTTTCTTCAAAGATTCTTGCAAATTTATTCAATCAAAATTGTAGGACTTTGTGATATTTCAATTTTAGCTAACAAATCTGGAACTATTGGTTGACTTCAATGCTGAAATAAACTTTGGTGTTTCATTTAATTGTTAGTTTTTCTATGAAATACTCTTTTACTAATGTATACCTCCAAAACATCTGTATGTTAACTGAACACAATGTTCTCAGAATCCTGAGTGTAAGTACACTGAAAAAAAAAAAAACTTGATTACATAGGACAACCAGACTTAAGCACTCTGGGCCCGAGCAGCCATCATTCGTTCTTTTTGCTTCATTAGACATTTCCTTGCATTGGCATTTCCTCCCAAGTCTCCATCTGGAAAGAAGCAGAATGGATGAAACTAATAAGATACCAGTGTAAACAATTTTTTATCCTGGGCAAAATAATTTGTGACACTTTTGTGTCATCAGTGTGATTAAACATAAAAGTAACTTGTTCGAGAATAAAATCAGGATTTTGTTGCAGAGTCGGTGCATCTCGATGCCTACGAGCAGCACAGGACTTACAGCACACTTGGTAGTTCTTCGACACCTCTTGGAACAGCTGGACCTCCTTGTAACAGTTCTGCTCGTGGTTGGTCCCTTCTCTCTGAACACAGGCACTCATTCGTTCCTGGACTATCTTCACAATCTCCCTATCCACCTTACTGTAGAGTGAAGACAACAACCCACAATGATTAATGATTTCTGAGACAAACTCGCCTGAAATATGTCTTTGTTACTACATCCTGTACACTAATGAGGTGGTCTGTTCTAAGTAAAGGCTCATTTTCACTTATAGGAGTTTCTCTAACTAACTGATTTGATCACTGAATAAGTGAAAATATCAGAGTTAATGTAAAGCACGGATGGAGTGCCTGGTGAGAGCTTTCCATTGTTTAAAGTTTGACATCATTTCAGCACCACGTTAAACTATAAATCTTTTGTTTTCAGGTCAGTTGTGCTAACAAGCAGATTTGTTAATAGGTTTAAATCTTGTGTCAGAACAAGAGTTGGAGGATTTAGATGCTGATGTTGCTCAGACTTAATGGCAGGAATATTCACCTTAAAGCAAGATGTCCTGATGCATCTCAGTAATCCAGGTAAAAAAATCAAAAAGAAAAAAATTGTATAGGTCTTCTGGACGAGTTCTTCTCTAATGAAACGTTTCGTCTCTCCTCCAAGAGACTTCTTCAGTCTGAGAGTTTCAGGCAAAATTCAGGCTTTTAAGCCCTGCCTCCATGTGACAGATACATCACATGGCTATCGTTGACACCTAATTAACACTTATTGTTAACAGGGGGTGGAGTGATACTGGCAATAGCCCCGCTGTAGGAGTTGAACAACTGAAAACGGAGGCCTCCACCTCTGTTTAATGATGGACGGTCTTTCTTCACAAAAATGGCTTCTTTTACTCCTCTCTCAAAYCAACGTTCCTCTCTATCAAGAATGAGAACATCCTCATCTCTGAAAGAGTGACCGCTGGCCTGTAAATGAGTGAAAACTGCAGAGTTCTGGCCATTAGATGTAGCTCGTCTGTGTTGGGACATTCTTTTGAACAGTGGCTGCTTTGTTTTCCCGATGTATAACTGGTCACAGTCCTCCTGGCACTTAACAGCATATACAACATTGCTCTGTTTGTGCCGGGGCACCGGATCTTTGGGGTGAACCAGCCTTTGCCGTAATGTGTTTTGGGGTTTGAAAGCCACTGGGACATCATGTTTAGAAAATAAACGTCTCAATTTCTCCAAAACACCCGCAACATATGGAATAACCACTGGTTTGGGTCTGGGTTTGGGGTCTTCATTTTCACTTGAAGGTTGCATGGAATCCTGTCTGTGTTTCCTRTCTGCTTTCAGGAAATCCCAGTCAGGGATTTAACCACACTGCTCCAGGGGGGTTATCCTGACTGGGCTTTCTTGAAAGCAGACAGGAAACACAGACAGGATTCCATGCAACCTTCAGGTGAAAATGAAGACCCCAAACCAGTGGTTATTCCATATATTGCGGGTGTTTCGGAGAAAMTGAGACGTTTATTTTCTAAACATGATGTCCCAGTGGCTTTCAAACCCCAAAACACATTACGGCAAAGGCTGGTTCACCCCAAAGATCCGGTGCCCCGGCACAAACAGAGCAATATTGTATATGCTGTTAAGTGCCAGGAGGACTGCGACCAGTTATACATCGGGGAAACAAAGCAGCCACTGTTCAAAAGAATGTCCCAACACAGACGAGCTACGTCTAATGGCCAGAACTCTGCAGTTTTCACTCATTTACAGGCCAGCGGTCACTCTTTCAGAGATGAGGATGTTCTCATTCTTGATAGAGAGGAACGTTGGTTTGAGAGAGGAGTAAAAGAAGCCATTTTTGTGAAGAAAGACCGTCCATCATTAAACAGAGGTGGAGGCCTCCATTTTCAGTTGTCCCTCTCCTACAGCGGGGCCATTGCCAGTATCACTCCACCCCCTGTTAACAATAAGTGTTAATTAGGTGTCAACGATAGCCATGTGATGTGAGTATCAGTCACATGGAGGCAGGGCTTAAAAGCCTGAATTTTGCCTGAAACTCTCAGACTGAAGAAGTCTCTTGGAGGAGAGACGAAATGTTTCATTAGAGAAGAACCCGTCCAGAAGACCTATACCATTTTTTTTCTTTTTAAAGCAAGATGTGTCTATTTGAACTCTGGCCAGTAGGTTCAATTTGCCAACCAAGATCTATTCTAGACAATTTTTCAGTTTAGTTACAGCAAACAGGATGCTCTTGATCTCTTATAACACAGAGGACAAAACATGTCTTTGTAGTTTTTGAAAATGTTGCAAGATTGGTCAGGAAACAATTCTCAAAATAAATGCACAGCATAAAAACTGGTAGTTTTTGCAGTTTCAATCCATGTGTGCATTTATGACACACAGCTAAGGTCAGGGTTCATCTTTTCTTTCAACATAAACAATGTTTGTCAGGAACTGGATTTCTGATTTACTCACAAATCTCTCTTCCACTGCATCTCGGCTTCGTAGTAGCATGTGAAATCTCTCTCCTCGCACTCCGTCAGGTACGGAACACGGCGGAACTTCTGGTGGTAGTAGACCAGCTTGTTTCTCGATCGAAGGCTGTCAATAGCAACTGGACAAAAATAAAATAACCCGAAACATCACGGATAAACAGTCGGAAACATGAAGTCTGGACACTCATTTTTTTATTGACTTATTCTAACACAACATTACTAAGCCTACAGTTACAATGACATAAACAGATTAAAGTAATGCAAGCAATAACGCGTAGTACWTGTCCTAATACATTGTGTTTTTGAGCTAACATATTAGCATGGTAGCTCCTGTTACCTCTAAATGCGGTGACAGGCACATCCACGGCGTAGTAAAACATCATATCCATGATATCATTTGGGTTTGGTACTGCTGTCTCTTTATCTATGATCGGAGTCTTCGTTGGAGGCTCCGGATATGCATCTTTCTCGAAGTCCGAAGGCATTTTGGCTTTGTTTTTGCTCTCAAAATGGACAAAATCCTACAATTCGACCTCGAGAGCTAGTTTCTGTACGGCGCATGCGCAGAAGACCCYGACACAATGACGAATTAGAGGTCAGCAAATGTAAACTTTAAATAGCATTAAAATACTGCTTAATTTATTCTAAAATGATTGTCGCATGTAAAAAAAAACAATTAGCTGTAAATTAAACAATAGTTTTCGGACCACAACTTATTTTAAATAAGAGGGTCGAAAAGGTGACGTTGACAGACTGTTGTACCGTTCAAATCCTGTAGGTGGTGCTAAACAACTTCATTTTCATTTTGTTTTAATGTAAACATTCTGTTTACAAAAGAAAAAAAACTTGAATCTAGTATAAAAGTGATAAACAAGGTAAGGTAATAAGATAGGCTTCATATTGTTAAATTTTACGAGTTGTTATAGTTGTTGATATAACTGCATGTTGCAAATAAAATTTATCCGGACAATGAAAATTTAATTAAAATCTATTTTTTTATCTTCTATTTAAAAAAAAATAGTAAAATGTATTAATGAAATAATTTGTTAAAGTAAAATCCAACACTGAAAAGCCTCCCAACAGGTTTTGCCAAGAACGTTTTGTGTATATCTATATCTATAGATCTGGAATAAAAAAGAAGAAAGACTTAATATGTGAAGAGTATTCTCCCACATTAGGGGTCTACATTTCTATTTCTCTCCTGCTGACACGATTATAAATATTATCTTCTGGTTTACCTGTAGGGTAAATCTCAATCTCAATGTGTCTCAGTCTCAGCCAGAGGAGGCCTGAAAGAGTGAACTACATTTGTGGTAAATTATTAAAACTAATTTTCCAATCAATTAAACATATGGCCAAATGGTGTGGCTGAATGATTTCATAACAACTGCAATATCTGTGTTTTAAAATGTAGTTTAAACAATAAAACACATTTGCTTTTTTTTTAAATAAGTTTATTTTTCACAGAGAAATCCAACAAATGTCATGCAGCATGGTCACTTGTTTAACAGAAATAAGATCTTATCAGGGTTTCCATGATCAAACTTCCTAGTTTGCTCAACATTACAATCCTGCACAGAAAGGAGCAGAAGATCAATCTTTTTCTTTAAAAGACCAGTTATCAGTTACTCCTTGTTTTGTGTAGGTGATCAACAGTCAGACTTCCTTATAGGGGGCACTGTATCTGTTCCTCACGCTCCTGCAGACTTGAGCTCGGTGTGACCTCAAAAGACCTCAGTCTGGCACCAGGCACCACAGGATAACCAACAAGCTGCTGCACAATCCCTCATTTGATCCACAGCTGCACAAGAACTACTTCATGTATGTGGCCTCGGGGTCAGACCACTCTGACAGGTACTCCTGAGACTCTGTGGAGGACCGGTGGGATGAGGAGTGCACTGAGGAATGCTGGGATGCTGGTGGGTTCTCCTGGCCAGGTGTCATCAGAGGCAAATACAGGTCGTCCATGTTGGGCATAACAAACACTTTCTGTTAACAAGAAAACAACGTGATCGATCAGAGCTCGTGCAAAGATTAGTGGCTCATCCCCTGTTCTGTTTGTCCAAACGGGTGAACCGACCTGGAACTCACACTGCAGCTTTTTCTCGATCCACTCGGTCACGTGAGTGAAGGTGACCTCCCTGTCTCCGAGCATGGGGCGCACATGAAGGTCTAACCTGGGAGGAACTCGGAAACTGTACCTGTTGGCGAAAAGAGCACACACACACACAAAAAAAAGTCAGCTTGATGCAAAAATCTGGTTGGTTTAAATGGAAACGAGGAAAGAAACAAATAAATACCAGATCCTGTCGGTGGGGGGAGGAGGGATGTTGATGGCCAGAGTTCCAGAAAGCTCCAGGACCTCCACGCTGAGCATCAGGGGCATGTTGGACACCTCAGCTATCTTCTTCTTGATGTAATCATTTTCCGTGGCCTTCTGGAAGTATTTGGATTTTGCTATCTTGTCCACAAATCTCAGGATTTTCCTGCCTGTGCTTCCACCTGTGTGCCTGAAGAACATAAAGACTCTGATTACTTCACTATCAGGGTGTAGTTTTAACTTTTTATGACCTATATGAGTTAGAACTTACTTATCTCCTCAAAATAAATACAAGTAAAACTGTTAAGTTTACCCATCAGCTGCCACTAAAGTATTTTTCTCTCCCTGAGACGACTGTGGCTCAGATGAGGGGGCTTCCTCTTCGTCAGAGGATCCCGCACTGGAAGACTCCTCGTCACTATCTGCTAATATACAMAGCCTCGGCTTGGAGCTGGAAAACACACCAGTTGCATTTATCATTAGAAACTGAGTTTAAGACTCATTTATTCATGAACTGAGGAACTAACACGGGCCTCACCACACTTGCAGAGTTTCGGGAACGACGTGAGCTTCGCCCTCTCCCTCTTTACCCAGTTTATAAAGGTTCATCTTCGTCTCCAGGGTCATCTGAATGCAGCCTGTGTACACCAGCTCCATCTCCAGCCACAGGCCTTTGATTTAAAGCAAAAGAACACAGTTAAAGGGATAGTTCAGATCTTTCTAAGTGGAATTCTGTAGATAAATTGTGCACAAATAGTATATTGACAGCCTCTATTAGAGTAATAGTGCAGTATTGACTGGATAAAGTGGATTGTTATCACCTTAAACAACTCCAATACACAAATGTTAATGTTGGTTAATAAAAACACTAKTCAATAAATCTTTACATCGCGGTTAAGTTCTTATATTACCCATGAATTGTGAAAAAAAAATTAGAATATTGGAAGCAGTCCAGAAAAGGCTTACGGACATTTGAGTGGCATCTTAATGTGGTAAAAAGCAAACAACAACAACAAAATAAACKAAATAGTGAGCAGCTACACGGTACGGAACAGTAAACTGTTAGAAGGTGGGAATGCTGTGCTCCGGGCAGAGCGACGTTGCACAGGCTTCACTGCATTTAATATTTCATCTTGGGCTGCAGTTATTTGCGTTAGTAAATAATATTAGATTTTTACGTAAATAACAGTTGATATAAAATTGACATCAGTGTAAAAGTATTACACAACAGCGTTCAAAATCGGCACGTTTTACTTTTCTCCCTGCTTGAACACACCTGATTCAGTTATTGAATAACCTGTTCCAAGTTCTGCAAAAGTCTGATAATCGTCCATTCATTTAAATCAGGTGTGTTGGAGCAGAGAGACAAGTAAAACATGCAGGGCCGCAGCCCTAGAGGACCAGGACTGCCCAGCCCTGGCTTAGGCTAACCATTAGCTTTGTTAGTCTGCTCAAAGCCCTTTTCTCCAAACTGAAGCTGTATGGGGCGCCGTTTGTAAAGTTACACTGCCAAAAATTATCAGTGATATTTAGCTTTATTTAGCCTTTCATGAGAAAAAAATAGGGGGCATTTTTCAAAGTAATATTTTTACCTTGATATTCAGACATTTATAAATGTCATAGTTCCAAACTAAATATTTAATTTGCAAGCTAAATATTTAGTTAGCACTGTAAATATTTAATTTTTAGCTAGCTAAAAATTTAGCTAAAAACTAAATATTTATGATGCAGCTAAATATTTAGCTTGCAAACTAAATATTTATCTCCAAGCTAAATATTTAGTGTGTAAACTAAGTATTTGGCTTGGAAATTGAATATTTAGCTTGGAACTATGACATTAAAAAAATGTACAAATATCAAGGTAAAAATGTTACTTAGAAAAATGCCCCCTTAGTTTTTTCTTATGAAAGACTAAATAAAGCTAAATATTGCTGGTAATTTTTGGCAGTGTAACTTTACAAACGGCGCCCCATAAGGATGTTCAAAGAGCTATCTGCAACAGGTAAGATATTAACTGTTCATAACACTTCCATTAAATCTAACTTTCAATTTTAGCTTTAGCAAACTGTTTTTTTACACGAGACTGATTTTTAAAAAGTGACAGACTGTGAATTTAATGAAGTATAATCATACTATACCTCTGCGATCCAGCGTAGGCTTGGAGGTGCTTAAAACCTGAGGGAGGCAGGTGCCYATGTTCAGATCAGCCAGAGTCAACTCATTCATGAAATACGGTAACTAAAAAGAAGAGGAGTTCATTAGTAAACGTGGCGTGGACCTTTCAAAGAGAGATTTGTGGCGGCAGCTAATTACCACTAAAAAATTAGTTAGAGATGTTGTATGCAGTGTGTGTGTGCGTGCGTGCGTGCGT